TTTTTACTCATGAATTTTAGATTTCTAAAGACACAATATAAACAGTCTACACACTATGCATTTCCATAACACAAAATGCAACAGCTGAAGCAAAATGCTGGTGCTTTTTCCTCCAACTCTGGTCCCCCTGGGCTCAGAGACCCCGTCGGTCCCCAAGGCTTCTGCCCCAAGACCACAGCCTAGGGTGCCCTGGAAGCCCACAGTGAGGAAGCAGAAGACCTGGCCCTTTGCCTTAAGGCCTGCATTCCCAGATGACAAATGTATCCACCGCTGTGTCCTGTCAAGACCCCACATTAGGCTGTCAAGGACCCTTGAGGCAGAGACTGCCAGTGCCACAGATCCGGACACCAAGCAGAGCCTGTTGCCACGGCTCTGCCTGGATACATGCTGGGAGGGGGGGTGGCCCTCACACTTGCAGCCAAGTGCCAGGCTCACCCCACCCAGCCAGGACAAGAACCTGCAGTCCACCTGATGACCAATGTGAGGCTGCCGGGCCCAGCTCAGCCAGGCTCCAGCACCTGACCCACACCCACCCTGCCATAAAAAGGTGGAGAAGGCCCCAGAAGTAGAGGCCCCCAGGCTCCCCACGTAGCATTCTTCATTGAGACTCCAAGGCATGTCCCAGCCTGGTACCATGGCAGTGGTCTGGAGGCTGCAGCAGCACACATGGGCGGGAAGGTGACAGAGCCAGAGGGCCGGAGGGCAGAAGCAGGGCAGCGCTGGAACCCTCACTTGAGGCGGTAGAGAACCCTGCGCTGCATGCGGTGCTGGACCTCACCACGGCGCAGCATAAGCTGCAGCACCTTGTGGATGGCGTGCTCCGGGTACTTCTGTGGGCAGACATGGGACAGATGCAGGTCTGTCTGGGAGAAGGGACACCTGCGCCCACCAGCCCCACCAAGCACAGGGAAGGGCCCTGAGCACCCACTGTCACTGAGTATAGGCCATCTGTACCAGCACTACACCCCAGCAGCAGAACAGGACTTGATCTTACAGAGGAAGAAACTGAGGCAGAGTCTAACTGCACACTCAAGTTCACACAACTAGTAGGGCTGGGGTGAAGTCCAGACCCCAACCAGACTCCAGGCAGCCCTGTACACCTAAGCTCAGTAGTTCACCCCAGACCAGGCGTGGCACTGACTGCCACAGGATGAGACCAGGACATGTACAGAAGGCCAAGCAGAACTGGAAGCCCAAGAACCAAGCAGAGTCCACAACTTGAAGGTACAGAAGCACACCTACCCCAGAGACCTGGAGGGCTCCCCCAGCCCTAAAGAAAGCCAGGCAGCCAGTGAGGCAAAGACCTAGCAAAGCTGGGGCTACGGGATACAGCTTCACCCAGACCTGGCCAGGAGTGCTGGTGGGCACAGGCAACCCCAGAACTATGGAAAGCAGAGCCAGAACACCCAACTCACGCCTGGCCTGAACTGCCCAGTGACTCAACACCCCGTCATCTCACAAGTTAAAAAAGCACAGCTCAGGCTGGCAAGCTAGCTCAGCAGACTAAAAGAGCCTGCTTAAGCAAGCTTAGACAGGCGCAGCAGATGGAGGTTCAATCCCCAGCACCACACACTGTGCCAGCCCCACCCTGAAGGTGGAGTGAGCCGGCCAGAAAAAGGGAAAAAAGCACAGCCAGATTGGTAGCTGCACACACACAACAGCTAAGGAAGGCGGCTTAGGCCTGAACTGCCTGGAGAGCCTGTCTCAAAAAGGGATGCAGCTCCACACAAAGAAAGGCCCTGGGTTTAACGGCTAGCACCACCAGGTAAACCAAGCCTTCCTGGCCCCCGCAGAAAGCGCGCACGCAGGGGATGACAGCTGGACAGGTCACGACAAGGAGGGATGTCCCCCACCCCAGCCAGGGCCACCCACAGAGCTGAAGGGCAGGTGCCTGCAGGCCCCATCTTTGTGCCTCCTTGGAGCAAGGCCCACCTGCTTGGTGAAGTCCTGGATGATGCTGTGTTCAGACACCTGGGAGCCAATGGCAAAGCGGCGCTTGAGCTGCTTCTCGATGCGACTCAACATCTCCTGGTCCTCCTGGCTGGTAAAGCCTTCCACCCCTGGGGAGAAAGGCCACAGCTGGCTCGAAAACCCAGGGTGGGACAGGCAAGGGCTGACCAGAGTGACCATGACAGAGCTGTACAACCCCGAGGACATATGAAGTCTTGGGTTGACTGTCACCCACATGCAGGTCAGATAGGCCCACAAGTGGACCAGCCAGGCAGCCACAGAAACAACTTCCTGGGACAAGTCAGATGGAGCACAGGAGTGCAGTAACCAGGGAGGAAGTGTGCAGGAGCCCTCAGCAAGAGGGGCTCGGGACCTCTGGCTCCAGCTGCAGACTGCCTCCCTGTGCTCCCCAGTAGCAGGAGGGCATGGGCCCCATGAGGGCTGCCTGGCCTGCCTCACACAGGCGCAGCTGCACCAGGATCTGCTGCCATCTGCTGGCTCCTGGTTCCACCTGCCAGGAGAGGGATGTAGCCAGCCTAGGAGAGCCGCATATGCCATGCTCCGAGCAAGCCAAGATTTTTTTTTTGTAATCGTTTAGTATAGGGTCTCGCTGTGCAGCTCAGACTCATAGTGATCCTATCTCAGCCTCCCCAGTGTTGGCATTATTTACGCACACACCATCCTGCCCGGTTTCAGTGGCCAGCTTCACATGGGGCTGGCATAAAATGTGGGACGAGAGCTCAAACTTGGGTCCTTGCCCTTGCCAGGCAAGCATTAAGACTGCTGAACTATCTCCCTGGCCCCAAGACTGAGCTTCTGAAGCCAGTGCTCAGGCCAGGAAGACTGTGACCCAGCCCACCTGAAGGCTATGAATGCTGGCTTGCTTCCTAAGATGGGAGGCCCAGCAGTCTGACTTAACTTCAGGGTATGGATGCCAGAACAGCCAAGGCCAGGAAGATCTACGCAGGCTAAGACCAGCATCCAGGGCTGGCTGCTATGCCTAAGCCTCAAGGCCAACAACAGGGCTCAGGTCTGGAGAAGAGCCGCTTCCTCCTACCCAGAAGAGTGGCCCAGGGAGCAATGGGGTTGGGGACGGGCGGTTAAGTCTGACAGGGCAGCACGCAGGGTCAGGAGACAGCACCCCACAGGCTGCCAGCACTTCCACACCACGCCTCAGTAGTAACCAAGGCCAGGGTGGCAGTACCTACTCACCAGACAGGGTGCCCGACAAAGCAGCGTCCAATGTGGATACTTGGAAGAGTCTCAGGGCTTCCTCCACATCCATCTCCGTGGCGAAGGGCTGCAGCTTCATCTTGCTGAGGGCCTCTGCAATGCGCACGATGGCCTCCAGCTGCC